TAGGTGCCTGCCATGCAATGCATGGAGGCAGTGACTGCTCTCCTTATGCATTGCTTATGGCAGGCCCCAATGAGCAGAACAAAAAGAATACTTGCTAATGGCTAATAGCAGAGCTAATTTTTTATTTGAAAACGTTTAGCGCTGTTAGCTTCCTCTGTTTTTACGGATAAATTCTAATTTACTTCTTTATTTTGTAAACTTTCAGTTCAATAATGTTCAACATCTGTGTTGAATTTTTGTTATTGACTATTAAGAACTCAAGTAGTTAGACGTTTATATTTATGCTCTTATTTTGAAGTGAAAGTACTTCCCCTCATTATCTATCATTTTTTCCCCCAATAACTTTATCTAAAACAAGAAACATACAGGAACAAAATAACTTGGAGAGCAAAATATAGATGTAAGTAAATATCTCAGCGCTTTGTATAACTTGTAAATTATGTCAAAATTAAATTGGTGCTTGAGGGTTTCAGTCTTTCAATGGCAGATATAATTTGAATACAGGTTAGCATTCTAGCATTAACTGTCAATAAATAGCAACAGAGTTAGCGATACGCAACAACTGAAACCAAGAGTAAAGTTCCAAAAAATAAAAAAAATCTGACACTGTAGAGGGCGATACATTATGTTGCAGCAAATATTGCATCTTTGACACATGGTGGATATCAACATGTTTGAAATTAGCATATTGCTTTTGGATACCTTAACATTGATGAAAAAGTACTAGTTCCACTGGAAGATAATTTCACTCATAACAAGACATTTTCCCCATGTTATAAGTGAAATAATCTTTCAGTACTTGTTCATCAATAATAAGGAATTATTGACTTAAACAAGCTCTTAAAGCTATCTGTAAGGTAGTTTTGTCTTATTTTAAGAGTATCAAGATATTTGGACTATAAACTAAACAAAAATACTTTGGAACCACAACACAAAAACATAAAATCTTACTGGGTGCTACGCAGTGGTTGCAGAAATGTGACCATGGTTTAAAAATCCTTTAATGGTTTAAGAAAGTTGGCAAAACTGATTTTCGTCTTCAAAAGTGACACTAAATGTAAAATGGAGCCAAAAGCTGGAGGTAATCAGATTTTCAGGGAAGAGAGGATGAATGACTGGCTTAACACATTTGTGTGTTGCTTTCCACATGGCTTCACTCAGCCTGACACGAACTGAAAAAAGATGAAACAAAGCAAAACAAAAACAAAAAGGAGGCTGGAAACGTATTTCTCAATCACAGAGCGAGTGTTGAAGAGACGAGTGCTTCAGAAGCTTTGATGGAGGTTAAGGAGATGCAGCAGCAGGGGGGAAGCTGGATGTGCAGTGCGGTCGGAGCCACAGCAGCGCTGCAGAACCAGCCAGACGCAGACCTCCCTGCTGCAGCTGCAGCTGCAGACCGGCTCTGCTCACCAGAGTCAGCGGCTGCTCTGCATCAGCATTAATCACCCAGAACCGCCGTGTGTGACTCACCATCCCAGAGGGGGCGTGATCTGTCCCACTCCTCCAGGAGACAGGGAGTAGAAGTTGGGCATGTCTGGTCCAGGATGATGCCTGGGCATCCCTGCAAACAGAAACCGTGTTCAGATACAGAGCATACAGTCATAAAAAAGGTCAAGTCAAGTCTAGTCAAGGCACTTAACACCTTAAAAACATAATATAGTCATGAAAACAAATAGAAAACCTGACATTTTGTCCAATGCCATCATCAAAATGATCAAATATGTTGATCAATGTTCCAGTTACTACTAATCAAAGGCAGCTCTAAACTTCTAGCCTTGCTTTAGAGGAACTCAGTGTTTCGGTTGTTTTGCAGTTTTCTGGAAGTTTGTTCCAGTTTTGTGGTACATAGAAGCTGAATGCTGCTTCTCCATGTTTGGACCTGATTGGTTTGGAAAGTCGATACAACGACTGCAGATCTTTAATGAATTGTGGTGCTAAGCCGTTCAGGGACTTTAGAACCGGGGTGATGTGCTCCATCTTCTGGTTTTAGTCAGAACCCCAGCAGCAGCGTTCTGGATCAGATAGATTTTTTAGGCAGACCTGTGAAGACACTGTGGGAGTAATCAATGCGACTAAAGATAAACACATGAATCAGTTTCTCTAGATCTTGAGACTTTAGTCCTTTAATAGTGGAAATGCTCTTCAGATGATAGAAGGCCGACTTTGTAACCGTCTTTATGTGGTTTTGAAGGTTCAGGTCAGATTTAAGCCTCTTCTCTAGTTTCCAGTTGTAATAAATGAAGCTGTGCTTTGACTCTATATTGTTCCTCTTTGGGTCCAAAGAAAAAAACTTCAGTTTTGCTTCGGATCATTTGGAGAAAGTTATGCCACCAGAACACATTCAATTATTCCAAGCATCATTTCAGAACATAGAAGGGTTCATAGTTACCCGGTGACTTCAAAATCAAGAGCTGTTACATCTGCATAGTTATGATAGATAATCTTATTTTCTGCTATAAACTGAGCCAGTGGGAGCATGTAGATATTAAATAAGAGGGGTCCCAGGATTAAACCTCCACATGTGATTTCTGACTGTTCCAATGAGAAGCTGCCTACTGAAACCAAGAAGTCCCTCTCCTTTAGTCAGACTCAAACCAGTCCAGTACTGGGACTGCAGAGTCTGATCCAGTTCTCAAGGTAAAATAACGAGCCAAATCTTTTCAGCTTGGTCTTGGAGAGCCTTGGAGCTCATTTTATTTTAGAGACTCTTCCAAGCCAACAGCAATGTTCTTTAAAGTCCTGGAGTTTAACTTTACTCAGATTTCACTGAGATTCACAATGAATGTGTTTTAAACAGTGAAAGGTTCTTACAGTTAGGGTCTGAAAATGACTTCTGACTTCTGAAAGGATGTGCGCAGAGCCGGATCCCTTTCAGTGTTTCTGATTCCTTAAGCTGGATAGCTGAAGCTTTTTCCCTGCTAAGCTCTTCAATCTGCAGCTCCTACCGAGCTTCAAGGTCAAGAGGTTTATTTTAGTGACACAACGTAGTAAAAACAGAACGGCAGGAGGACAAACATCTGCTTTCCTTCCTGCTACTTTCAACCCATCCTTCACTTGGTTCCGATTTCCCCCCCAAGCAGCCAGACTTACCTTAAATCTTTAATAAACATTTCTCCAGGTTTTTGGAGAAATCTGGACTTAGGCTGCTTGTCATTTGATGGGTTTTTGTATTTTTAATAATTGTTGACATTTATATTTTGGATATCTGCTTTAAATCCTGTTTTATGTCAGACATTTTACATTTTTTGTTTTATTTAGAAAGATTCCACAACATGCCATCATGCAAAAAGTATTCCAACCTTAGCCCCTCGAAAGTTTTCATATTTTCTCATGCAGCAAGATCAAACTTCAAAATATTTCATGTGCAGTATTTTCCCAGACCATACGCAACTTTGGAGTAAAATTTGCATTTGTCAAAAGATGCATCATGTACAGGAAAAAACCTATATAAGACAAGTTATACAGAGTATATATATAACCCTAACCCAGTCTCTGACGCATCGATATCCGAGCTCTAAATCAGGTTGATCAGAACAACCCTAAAATCTGACTCTACTCCATTTTTGTTTTGTTTTTTTTGAAGAAGGAGCGTTCGGGCTCTTCTTCAGAGGTTTTTGTGTTGTTTCATTCCTTCAGTGGTTCTTGCTGCCACCAAAACGAGGAGAGGAACAGGTTGCTCAAAGGGCTTGGATCGTTTGTGCAGTGCTGCATAAGAGAACCGCAGCAGCTGAAAATGTAATAAATGATGCAATTGTTGGTCCCTAATCGAACAAAGACTACTGGACAATCTGGTGGGAAAACAGCCTGAGAATATTTGATAATGTGGGTTCAGCTGTGCAGGAGTTTTTCAACAATCATGTTTAGTTAAACTGGAGATAAAGTCATATGGACCCAAATCAGTTCCAGATTTGTATTCGTTTTATTTTCTGCTTTTATGAAGGGTCAATTTTGGCCTAATTTGTGTGAAAACATTAATATACCCAACATTTTTGAATAAACCCAATTATTCATGAAACCTGTTGATTTTGTGTGAATCTGAGAGATTGGAAATTCACGCAAAACCTCCACAGCCCTCAAGAAAAAAAGCTGCATATACTAATTTATGTTTGCTAATCAGGTTATTCCTGAATTCAGCTAGTAACACTGGATTTTATTCAGGGGTATCAGAGTAAAAGGTGGAAGTGGATTCCAGACTTTTTACTTTTATATGCATTTTGCAGTTCGACATCGATAGATCAACGCAAAGAGAAACTGAAAGATCTTCAGGATATCTGGAGAGCGTTTGATCGAGAAGACGACATGGAAGCCAGGCGACTTGGAAGGAAAATAAATTATTATTAAATTAATAATTAAAATTATGGGAAGCCTTTTTCATAGCGCAATCCAGTGACATGAAAGGGAAGAAAAGGTCAGATGCCTTTCCTCCTCTATCATTCCCAGCCAAGGTCTGCAGAGGCCTGCATCCTCTTCCTCAGAGAGGAAGGCCGAGTGGGAGGCTCCCATCTGCAGAGCCATGGCTAATCTGCTACCTCACACTCCTCTGTGCGCTAGCCTCGTCCCTCTCACCTGTAGAAAACCTTTGTTTTCCTCTCGTTGCCACTGAAATCCAGCAGACATTCCCACCGGAAGCCGCCGATCCGTCTAATTCTGGTCCCCGTCTTCATTTCTTTAATTCAACATGCTTCTCCTCTGCCCCCTCCCTCCGCTCGACCTTCCATCCCACACAGCAGCCCCGTGCATATTAGAGCTCATAATGAGAAAATCCATGATTGTTTTTCATAATTAACGAGCAGATCAAAGTCTGAGCCCTCTGAAGGAAGCAGAGCAGCTATTGGTCGATTCGAGAGGGAGAGAAAGAGCAAGAGGGACAGCTAAAAAAAATTAAAAAAGAGAGATTTGGTTTTAAGCATCCTCAGCTTAGCTTCACTGATACACATGAATACGCCTGGGGAAATCATTTACAGCTAATTCTGCAGCCAGATTGCTTGTACGTGGATTTCTGTTGGGTTGTGAGAGTGCAGATCAAATGCAGGAAGAAAAAAAAAAACGGCCCTCTGGGGATTTTTTTCTTCTCCTTATTGTCAGGAATTGATGTGAAAAGTAGAAACCTTTTCTCTGAAATCTAGTTTTTTCTTTATTTGTTTCCTGTTTGTTCTTTCATGCTTCGACATCACAGCGCATGTTGGCAGACGCAAGGCGTATGTGGAGCACAGCTTCCTCACATCTCCGCTTCGCAGCATTATTTATATCTGGTCCCGTCTTCATCATCTTCATCATCGCAGGAGAAGAAAGCGAGAAGGTGGAGGACGAAACGCCGTTTTTTTCTTTCCTCAGCATCATGGAGAAGCTGCCAAGGCCTCCAGCTGTGCGGGCCGCGCCGCCTCGTCCAAACTGTCAGAGCTGCAGCTTGATCTTATTCCTGCGAGCCGAGCCGAACCGAGCCGAGCTGAGGGAGCGGCCGGCCGACGGGCGGCTTCAAACCAGATCCCACTTCACCGTGACACCTTCGGGTCGGCGCGTCTCTACTGATTCCTGACAGCAGTGACAGTCAGAAGAAGAAGAAAAACACTGGAGCGTTGCATAAGTTAAATAAAAATTGGGTTCAACAATGTGTCGCTGCAGTATTTTTAGCGAGCGCTTTATTTTCTTCCAGAGCTTGAAGTCTTTCATCAAAGGCTGCTCGTTTGTCATCAGACGGCAACTTGGGTTTATTTTAAGGCCTGAGCAAACTGAGAACTCTTTTAGCTGTTTTACAAATTCATAATTGCATGACAAGTCGTCTATCGTCTTGTTTTAATCTCTATAAGAACCGTATTGTAAATATGTTTCTTTAACCCAGTGATGAGTGAATCAGTTGGGCCTAAACTACTCTGTTCTGTCATCCTGTTTACCTGCCTCTTATATTTTAATCCTACATGTTTGGACCTTTAGGTTGTTTTCACACCTGGCTTCTCCAACTGATGACAAAAAAATGCATCATTGTTACATTTTCAGCCGGTTCGGTTCTCTTTCCCACTGAACTGTGTTAAACAAACCAAACTAATTGAAAAACCTGTTTCCCTCAGCACAGGGGAACAGGCACTGCGCCCCCTCACCTGTGGGGGCGCTGCGCCAAGAACTATGGGAGGAAATGACGCAGAAACCTCCAAACAGACACCGAGACCAACTTCCTTCTTCACAAAATATAAACAAAAATGGAGCTATATCATATTTTAGCGATGGGAGGATTTGTCATTTGTCTTTGGTACAAGATCACAATCCATTTCTAGCTAGCGCCAGACTAGCGCATTTGTTTGGGTTGTATTTACCCAGAATGCCCTGTACAGTACTCCACTTCCTGCGGTCTCAGGTCCACTTGCATTCACATTTCCATTTGAACCGCATCAGAATTTAGTTCAACCAAACCCATATTGAGGTTTGTAGGTGGACCAGAGTTTGCTATTTTAGTTTGAGTACGCATTCACTCCTCCCCAAATGAACCGGACATTCAAGGCAAATGAACTGGAGTTCAATTAATGGTGTTTTCACACCTGATAGTTTGGTAAATTCAGTTCCACTGGGTTCCAAAATTGCAACATTTGTTACATTTTCATCTGCTGTGGCTGTTTGTGTCACTGCACTGAGTCAACCCAATCAGACCCATTGAGCAATCTGTTCCCCTCCTCACCTTTGGGGGCGCTGCACCAAGAACCTCTGAAGGAAACAACATAGGTTTGGTGGGCACTGCTAGCTCATTAGTTGGATATGATACATGAAGAGAAGGACGATATCAGTCCAACAGGTCCTGCTGTTTATTATCTCAGTTCAGCACTGCTAGCCCAGTTTCTTCTCTGATTTTGGATAAATTGTTGTGAACTGCTGCTATGAAAATAAACTGAACCGGATGCATATTATTTGGTGTTTGAACTTTTTTAACTGTTTTTGAAGAGAGTTTCAAGTATTTCCTGGTTCTTGTGGTCCAGAACCCTTTGAATACTGCGGGTTCGCTACACAGAAGCAAGGAAAATGTGTGCAGCATCAGGTGGGGGAGGGGCAGCACTGTGGTGCTCTATAAGACTTCCTCTGCCGACCCTGCTCCCTCGTTAGAAACACTTTAAACAATGAGAGAAACTTTTAGAGACCTCAGTGAAAGTTTCATCGCCCCATGACTACAATTAAGTCTTAAACTGAACTGCAGCCCGTTTAACGTTCCTCCCATCACTTTTAAATGTCAAAAAAAAAAAAGATGCTGAACATCTTCATCACCGTCCTGCTGCTGTCAGCGTGTCTCTACCTTGTTTGTTGCCTCCATCCTGGGGGTGATGGCCGGAGTGGGACCCCGGGGCGAAGTGCTCGTCGCTGTACGTGATGAGCGGCGTGAGCGGGTGGACGGCGTGGGACGGCTGCACCACCGGGACTTTGTTGGACTGAGGAGACAAAAAAGCAGGACGTGAAAACCATTAGACTCATCTGCTTTACGTTATTTGCAACATGACTCAGTTTGCCGCTGCGTGACGCACGGATAACGCAACGCAGCTGCAGGTTCCGGTCTCTAAAGTTTTGTTCAGGAGGACGAAATAATTTCGTAAATTTCTCGTCTTGAAGCCTGGTAGCTCCAAACTTTATTTAGCCTAGGTCAGCGGGACTGAAACCCCGACTCCCTGGAGGGAGGCCGGGAAAACAAGTCAAAGGATGCAAACGGGAGGAGCGAAAAGAAGCAGCGTGTTCGGCGGAGCGCAGAGGAGAGGGAGAGAAATCAGAGAGTTGCAAGGTAGAGCTGGAGCAGAGGTCTGAGGCGGAGGATCAAAGGCAGTCATTAGCTGGTGAATAAGGGGAGTTCATTACAGAGCCAGAGCCGGGGGATGAGGGAGGGAGAGGAGGGCGGGGGACTGACGAGAGAAAGCAGAAAATATCTGCAGCAGCTTTTAGGAGACGGGTGATCACGCAAACGGCGGCCTGACTGTAAACTTTCATCCCCAGCTGACTCACAGAGACGACCTCAGAGGGAAACCGGTCCAAAACCGGCCCGATCCACAACGGCTAACCACTTCATCTGCAGCACACACATGGAAACACTCAGCCATGCTAAATCTACTGTTCGCCATCTGAGCCGAGCTGCAGTCCAAACCTCCACAGGAAGTACGGCTAAATGCGGGACACGTTGGGGCGCGCCTGGACGAGACGCGGCGTCCACCGCACCGCTTCGGTTTTATCAACACCGCACTTCCAGACGGTTCTATCAAGATGAAGAACCGCCACCTTTTCCGGTCATTAAACACAACATGGATGAACTTTGATGCACTTTCTGATTTTAATAAAAGAAATCATACCAAGGTTAGAGGCAGACTGCGCTTTAAATAGAAACGTTGCTAAACTAAAGGTGTGCTTTAGCATACCTAAAGCACATTATTCCCAATCCCTGTGTGATTGGGAATAATGGGTCGAAGGCAGTCGGATCTGATACATGAAGAGATGGAGGCTACAGCATGAATCAGTCCAACAGGCCCTGCTGTTTATCACCTCAGTGCCGTGGTGGGCAGTTAGCTGTGCTAACCATAAACCACTAATCATGAACATTAGTTCTGCTAACGCTAAAGAACTATATTAACATGATATTTAACAGAAGCTAATGCTAAAGTACTTCAACAACACAGTAATTAGCAAAAGCTAATGCTAAAGCGCTAACTTTAATCCATGTTATGCCTGCCCTTGAAAAACTACAACCCTCGTGAAACAATTTAATTTTGACATAATTACATTTTCTATAGTCCTCATATATTGAAATACAATTATTGTTGAAAAAAGAGAGAACAAAAGAAGAGGAAATGGAGCTGCTGCACAGTTTCAGCCAACTTCAAACTGAGAGCATGACTATAAACATCTAACTATTTGAATCATTCTTTAGTCGATAATCAAGCGCTAAACGTAAATTTGCTTCACTGTTAGCGTGTTAGCTGAAGAGTGCCCAGCACTTTATGTAACAAAGATCATTTTTCTCACTTTTTCACTGTCTGGAACATCTTTTGAACTGCAAGTAAAAATATGTGCTTCTGTTTATTCAGGAAGCCAGTTAACCAGTTAAGCATTGTGTTACGTGCGCTAAATGTTTTTAAAATAAGCAAAAGTGCTAAACAAAAACTTAGCTCTGCTGTTAGCGCTTTAGCAGAAGTGTTCCCACCACCGTCTCTGTGTATTTTGGGGTTTTACAATTTACTGACCCTTTAAATAAAGTAATTCTCTTAAAGAGACGATATAACAAACTGCTTTTATTGTTGTCTAATGACTTGTGTGCTAAAGTGACATTCCTACAGTGCCAAGCAGTGACTGGTTCCCTCATCATACTCACACACACACACACACACGCACACACACTTCATAAAACCTCTCCAACACGGGATGCCTGGAATGTCTGAGTTTCTGCGATCCTCTCTCAGGCTGGCACCAGCTTCGGTTTAAGGCCCCCCTCTCCTTCCCATCACCCTTTGGGAATGTCCTAACCATGAAACGAAAGCGTCCCCGACCACACGAGGCATCATTTACCCCGGCTCCCTAATCAGGCCGAGGCTCCAATCCCTTCTGCCAATTTAGCTCCTCGTCTTTCCAGCTCGGCTTTAAGCCTCGCAGCGCTCCATCAAACACGGGACGCAGTGGACTCTCTGATGTGTGGCCTGTTTCAGGGAAAACAAAAACTACCAGCACTGAGCTTCAGCTCAGGTGAAACAGCTTCTTTGACCTCCAGTCACAAAGGGTCAAAGGTGACGAGATAATCCAGGAAGGTGGGAGTGTCTCCAAAGAGGGACAGCCTTCTTAATGAGGCTGTTAAACCAGAAGGGACGGACTAACCAGGCCAAAGGGAGCAGGACATGCCCACACTGGAGGCTAAATTACAGCTTTCTCGCCCGTATTATTTTAATCCTCTCCACTCCCATTTGTTCTCCTGTGGGAATGAGATAAGAACCCGAAAGTCTCTCAACTTGTAGAGGAGAAAAAGCTCCTGGAAGTGACCAACTCTGGAGGAGCAGCTCCTCAGCTTCTCCCAGTTCCAGCTGTCAAATCCCATTTTTCATCAAGTTCCCAATAAACAGCTTCCATTCAGGGAGAAAGAAAGGCAAATCCACCATGGAAGAGCTGCAGACCTGTGACCAATACAGAATAAATGGCTTTTTGGCTGAACGACAACAACATTTCCTTATAGAGGAAAGAAGAGTCATCGATAACGGGACAGTTTAAGATGTATAATCCAAAGACGGGGAGCGTCGGTTCTTTAGAGTTCAGGAACAACATCCTGGCATTGATCAAGGAGCGAAGATGAGTTTGTTTTCGACTTAGTCCTACGTTTCATCCAACGGGATGGGAAGCAGGAATGTTCTGGACCCTGAATCGGATCGATTCCTGGGACAATCGGGACCGAGGAGGTAGAATCCTAAAACGGTCTAATGGAAACCGTGTTTCCTTTGGAGCTGCTCAATATGGCTGGAAAACGTGTCAAGATACAGAGGTTACATATCAGTCAATATCGATATTTATTGATTAGTTTTAATGTTTAAATATCTGAAATACTGTCAAACTGGTGGCATGACCTTTCCCCTTTTGCTAGAGGTGAGGTGGAAACATTTGTTGAGTAAGTTCTGATGCAGCAAACTTTTACCTCACATTACTAATCAGTCGTTTCTGCCATTGGACTCATTTTTTTCTCTACGTCTCCAGACACTTTATCACATCGCCAACACTAGGTAATAAGACAAAACAATTACAGCTTTCTGAAAACCTCTCTCCATATTTCTCTTCCATGCTAGTTTGCAGCTTCTTACTTCCTGCCTGTTACAGCTGTGCGCACCGCCAACACTGACAACATTACGCCAGCCTGCTTGATTCAATCCAAACCCGTAGAGGCATAATTTACATTTTCTGTTTTGCTACGTTTTAAAAGTTTTATCTAAAATCACATGACAGTTGGATGAAAACTCTACACCTGTTGCCTTCTTTTGGAAAGTTTTCAGACATTTCCCACTGAAGGGGACTTCAGGACAGTCCCAGAATTTCCCTTTTTTCTGGGAATGCCATGGGATTCCCAAAGAGAAACCGGAGAGTTTCTCTAGACAGCCGGACGCCAAAAGTTTCCTCTTTGGACTTGCTGTCTCACCAACTTGGCTTTGGGTGTAGGTAGACAGAGTTCCCTCCGAAGGACTACTGTCGCCTTATTGTATTATTTTGGTTACTATCAATGAAAAGATACAGAAAAATATCAACCAGGAAATGTTTATGTAGCAACACACATCAGCTTCCTGAATGTGCCTCTGATATTTTTAAAATAAACTAAAATTAGGAAGAGAAAAGGAAAAAACTGGTTTGAAATGCAAACTAATTAAAGACACTGAGTTTGTTTGAGCTGTGATCCCGTCTCGTTCCCACCATGAACGACTCCAAAAGCTCCAGTGGAGGGCAGCCATACTGGAAGTCTTTCCGTTTCACTGGACAAATAATAGGCTTACACTGCAAAAACACAAAATCTACCAAACTATGTTTGTCTAGTGTCTACTGCAAATATCTTAGAACACTTTGAATATGACAAGACTAACTGAAAAGCAACGTTTTACAATATGTGAGCTTGTTTTGTCCCATTCCTTAATATTGATGAAAATATGCTAGTAATACTGGCAGATTTTTTTCACTTCTAACTTTCGTAAAATGTCTTGTTAGAAATAATCTGCCAGTGGAACTAGAACTGTTTCAATATGAAGGAATTATTGACTTGAAACAAGCTCCTACATCTTGATGAAAAGTTACTTCTAAGTTAGTTTTGTCTTATTTTAAGTGTACTTAGATCTCTGCACTAGAATCTAGACCAAAAATACTTGGTAAGATTTACCGTTTTTGCAGTTTGGGACTTCGTCTTTGCTTAGGAAGAGCAGAAGAAGGGAGACAGAGAAGACTGATCATATCCAGGCTTGGCTGGGCCTTCAGATGTGGTTTCAGGTGAAATTTATTGTCTGGAACCGGCGCTGGCAGGAAGCCCTGGGTGGACAGAGGCTGTGGGCGTTTATTTGGTCCCTTTAAAGGCGGGTGATCATGAGAAATACGTCACACCAGAACCATCCACCCCTCCTAAATGTTGCCTTCTGAACCATCCTCTCCTTCTTCCGCCTCACAGCGCAGCTTTTGTACTCCACTCAATTATAGCACTTCTGCAGAGTGGAGTAGGGGGAAAAAAGGCGAAAGCGGGAATTTTATAATAATCACTTCCCACTTCTGTAATTTATATGCAATGAGGACTCTTGGAGCCGGCGGCTACAATCAAGAGAGTAGAAACGGTGTGAGGTGTTTCACAAACAGCTGGGGAGTCGGCAGCTCGAGTGGCGGTGGTGGGTTCCCATGCTGCTAAATCTGCCCACTAAAAGAAACCCTTCTCACCCGAAACACACCCAGG